CTGAGACAATGGCAGTTTCGTTTTAATTCCCGAAGTGCCATTCAATCGGAGTGTACCCACTTCAGTCTGCGTAAAGTTTCCGAACAGCTGTGTTAGCCTCAGTGACGAGGGCGTGCTCCTATCAACGCATGGTGCCCAGGCACTTAGGAAGCCGTCCTGTGGAGAGTGCTAAACCCACAATATGCCAACACCTGATTTTTTTATTGATCTCGATAACACGTCATGCTTAATCTTTCCTACTTAGAAACCCAAGAGCCAACTAAAAACTCTGATATTTTGGATTTTTGTCCATTTGTATCAGAGTAAAAACTCAGATGCCAGCAAGATTAAATACCAATTTAAGTCCGACTGAAAATGTCCATTTGGTGATACACGGATGAAAATTTTCCCATTTTATGCAACTCGGTTAACTAAACTTGGGCTCTATTATCAAACTTTCAGATGCAATAACTGTTGGATCACAGAAGATTCTTCAGTTAGCCCCCCAGTCGTAAGCACTGAGGATTTTGCCCAAACTGCGTTTGTGTTTCTCTCCGCCGAATGCTTTTCGACAGTGGATCACTAGTCAATCTTCAAAGCGCCACATTCCGCTGTCACAACGATCTGTAGTTCATCCCAATATTTGTTATGGCGCTCTATTCACCATCTTTCCTACTGCGCCACCACCATTTCTGGATGTATTCTCACCGAATTCCCCATGTTTACACAGGTTTCGTGAAAATACATTTTTAGAACACATCTACACAATTCTTTTACCAATTTTAACAAAGAACAAGCTGAAAACGGGTCGTGTGTTATGTACCTGTTGTCTTCTTGTACATTAGCCACTGATCTCGCTGATACCGTGGAGACAGCCAGCTGAGTCTGATGGTATTTGACCGGTTATAAACGAACTTAGTGGTTCTAATGGGTCTGTTGTTGTGCCTGAAACAGGAGAAGCAGGGATCTGTTTGACAAGTTTGTAGCGATATTTTGGAACACACCTTATAGCAAGCCATCGTGGTGTCTGGGGCCAAGTTAGTTTTCCAGTTCTGCATCGACCACGTGCGTATGGAACGCAGAAACTGGCCCACTATAAGCTTTCAAAGCACAAAGGGCAATCACAAGTCACACTCAAATAGCTCTACGTCTAGGGCCGAATCAACGGAATCCAACTGACTGAGTGGCCAGGAGGGAGCCTAAGAAGTTCCTCGGGGACCGCCGCTTGCTGGATAATGCGGCAGCGTGATGTGCTTTGGGTTAGACCCAATTAAAGCGTTTCGTAGCTGGACAAGATGAATGCCACCAAACCTCAGCTTTCTTGCCTTTTCACTTCCTCGGGAATTAATCGTTTACTTGGAGTGAATCAGTTTACGGTCTCTTGGTGCAGACCGAAAATTGATGTGAATATCTGGGCGGGATTCCATCGACAGGCAGCTAGTAGTACATGTTGAGATTTTATGACAGACACCACAGGTAATAGGTAAGAACCCAGGCACATGTTTTTCGCCGATATGGCGCTCATCAGTGGGTCCTGCAATCTTGGACCTCTGATCTCAGTGAAGGGTACGTAATTGGCGGACGGTTAAGAGAGGTCGACTGGGTGTTGAATCTGCGATCGTATAAGGTGGTGGGAGACACGATAGCATTGTCCGCAGCATAGATTTGGTGTGGGAGCCCATGGACATACTAGTGGTTATTTGGGCCCTCATCTCGTCAATTAGTAGCTGGGGTCCTTACCACCTTAGCCAAGACGACTGAATTCACTCTTTCAAGCCACGCCGAAGTACCCGACAGATAGATTGTCGGCAGTTCATTATATCGTAGCCCAGTCACCGAAACCGGTCTTGCTGTACTGGGCCTTATTTTTGTGTACACAGTTGGGCTAAGTGTTGTCACCAAGAGATAACTGCAAGTGCATATCTGGGAATCGGGGTATAGCGTCTAACGTCTCCCACCACTGTCAACGTATGTACTATTCAGAAGTCCAAGAGGTTCACTCCTAAACATCCATTCTAGATTTAATCTGCAAACTGCAGCCGGGAGTTATTTTCGTCCCCTCTCCCCCCCTCTTCTGTTCTCTTTGGAATCCACCGTCGTATTTTTCCCCAAATTTATCCTGGCTACCACCGGCTACATCGTGATCTGTCCTCTTTCTTTCATCGTGTGCCGCGGATTGTTTGCCAAATGGGCATTTATACTGTAATTGCCTGCCTTAGTTGGGAAGGGGTACACGCCGGCAGTTAGGCGGATTGACTGTACTGCAAACGCTGTTCGTCCCGGGTAGGGTAATAAAAATCGATTGAAGTGCGCACTGCCGACTGCAGGTTACTACTACTTCAACCAGCGGAACTACTTTCCTTGAGATAAGAGTGCGGAAACCAAATCAAGC